GGCTGGGAAGGTGGCTCAATGTAGAGTGCCGCCTTGCATGCATGAGGCCGTGGGTTCCATTCCTCAGCACCACTTAAGCAGAAAAAAAAAAGCCGGAAGTGGCACTGTGGCTCAAGTGGTAGAGTGCTTGAGCTGAAGAGCTGAGGGACAGTCCCCAGGCCCAGAGTTCAAGCCAACAACTGACCAAAAAAAGAAAAAAAGAAATTGTTAGGCATGGTATTTATTCTACTCACTTTTGAACTCTGGGCCTGGGTGCTGTCTCTCAGCTCTTCAGCTCAAGGCTAGCATTCTACCACTGGAGTATCAGCACCAATTTTAGCTTTTTCTGTTTATTTGGTGCTAAGGAATCAAACCCAGGGCCTCATGCATGCAAGGTAAGCACTCTACCACTGAGCCACTCTCCCAGCCCTACATAGTGCTTTTTAAAAATAATTGACAATCCTCTGTCTAACTATACTTTATTTATGCCTACATTGAAAGACATTTAGTTTCATGTTAATGCCAGAGTGCTATCTTCTTCCTACTTTTTTTCATGTATTGTTTACTTAACTCACATTGACCTGTGAGATCAGGACAGTTAAATAGAACTTTCTATAATGAAGAGAATAGTTTGTGTCAACACAGCCCATGATGGTAGCCACTAACTACATGTGATATTGAGCACTTGAAATGTGACTATAATTAAACTTTATTTTATTTAACTTAAGTGAGATATGATCTTTTTATGTAGCCCAGTCTGGTCTTGAACTTGTAATCCTTCTGTCTCACAGCTTCCTAGGTGCTGGGATTATCAGCATGTACTGTCCTGCTTACCTTAAACTTTAAATAAAAAGTTTTGTTTTTTTTTTTAAATTAAAATAGTCATATGTGGCTAGCGGTACTGGGGATTAAGTCCAGGTGTGTTTTTCTTTCTTTTTTTTTTCTCTAAGCCTGGGACTTGAAACGGGCCTTGTGCTCTGTACCTGAATTCTTTTTGTGTGCTGGTCCAGGGGCTTGAACTCAGGGCTTGGCACTGTCTGAACTTGAGTTACTTTTGCTTAAGGCTAGCATTCTACCACTTGAACTACAGCTTACTTCTGGCATTTTGGTGCTTAATTGAAGATGAAAGTCTCATTGATTTTCCTGCCCAGTCTGGGTTGGAACTGAGATCTTTGAATCTCAGCCTCCTGAGTAGCTATGTAGTGTAAGACACCAGTGCCTGGCCCAGGTGTGCATTTGATTATGAGCAGTACTTCCTCCCCTGTGGCTAGCTTTTTTTTTAAAATTGTGAAAATACCGTACAGAGGGGTTACAATTACATGGGCAAGGTAATGAGTGCATTTCTTATCAAGCATTGTTGCCTCCCCTTTGTTTCCCTTTTTGTTTGTTTGCTGGTCATGGGGCCTGAACTATGGGCCTGGGCGCTGTCCCTCAGCTCTTCAGCTCAAGGCTGGCAGTCTACCACTTGAGCCATAGCTCAACTTCCAGCTTTTTCTGCTTATGTGGTGCTGAGGAATGGAACCCAGGGCCTCATGCATGCAAGGCAAGCACTTTACCACTGAGACACCTTCCCAGCCCATGGCTAGCTTTTTGAACATTATAATTTTAGTCTAAGGAGTTGAGAATTTGGTCTGTAATCTCAATTATTAGTATTTTTTGTTGGATTTTTGGGGGATAAATGTAAAAATATGTTGTAAAGTATACTTTTATTGTTTTTTATTTTCTTCTTTTCTTAAACCTGTCCTGGGCTTTAACTCAGGGCCTTTGTACTGTCCCTGAGCTTTTTTTGCTGTAGGCTAGCACTCTACCACTTGAGTCACAGTGCCACTTCTGGCTTTTTCTATCTATGTAGTACTGAGGAATCGAACCCAAAGCTTAATGAATGCTAGGCAAGCACTCTACAGCTAAGCCACATTCCCAGCCCTGATTTTCTTCTTTTGAGGCAAGAACTCAGGCTAGCCTAAAACTTGAGATAGATAGATAGATAGATAGATAGATAGATAGATAGATAGATAGATACACAGATAGACACACAGACAGATAGACACACAGACAGATAGACACACAGACACACACACATTTCAAGCTAGCCTTGAGTTTGCTATTCTCCTGCCTTAGCCTTTTTAGTGGGATTCCTGGTATGTGCTTCTGTGCCTAGCTTTTGTTGATGTTATTTTATTTTTTAGGGCTGGCTCTGGGGCTTGAACTCAGGGCTTGGCCCCTGTCTCTGAGTTTTTTGGTCAAACCTAGTGCTCTACCACTTGAGCCACAGCTCCACTTCTGGCTTTTTGGTGGTTAATTGGAGATAAGATTCTCATGGACATTCCTGCCTGGACTGGTTTCAAACCAAGATCCTCCTGAATAGCTAGGACTATAGGTATGAATCATTGATACCCAACTCTTGTTATTTAAATAATATTGTTAGGTGAGTATGATGTGAGCTTTATATTGAAGAATGTGTGTTTTCACAAAATCTCAAATAGCCGGGCACCAGTGGCTCATGCCTGTAATCCTAGCTACTCAGGCGGCTGAGATCTGAGGATCGAGGTTCAGAGCCAGCCCGGGCAGGAATGTTTGTGAGACTCTTATCTCCAATAAACCACTAGAAAACCGGAAGTGGTGCTGTGGCTCAAGCGGTAGAGCGCTTGCCTTGAGCTGAAGAGCTGAGGGACAGCGCCCAAGCCCAGAGTTCAAGTCCCATGACCAACCAAAAAAAAAAAAACCCTCAAATTTCTGAGTGAGAATATGTATATATTTTTTCCCCAGTGCTCCACTTCAGCTCCGAGAACTAGTAAACTGTCGTTGGGCAGAAGAAGTAACACAACAGCTTGATACTCTACAACTCTGCAGCCTCACCAAACATGAAGAAAATGAAAAGGACAAGTATGTTATCAATATTCTTTATTCAGCATTTAATAGTTTGTGCCATTTGCTGTTTTGGTTTCATGTACACACACAAATATAAATCACTCTGTGTGTGTGTGTGTGTGTGTGTGTGTGTATGGCATGTGTGTGTGTGTGCACAGGACATTGAACTACTAAGCCCTAATTTTACTATGTTGGTAGATCTCTTTTAGTTATTTATATTTGATGCTTCTGTTAATATTTAAAATGATTGATTATTGCCATGTTTATTAAATGTTTTAATAAAATAAATGTATTTAATATAAATATTTAAATTAAATCAAACAATTGATATTCAGTATAAACAAACAAATATTTGATATTAAATTAGATTAATATTAAATGTTTAATGAAATACTGTTATGAAATACTTATTTCATGCTGTGTATATGCACATGCATAAAGAAAGTATTAATGCTAAATTATGGGTTACAATGACAAGATCTTGTGTCTGTTTACCTATTTAAGGGAATTCAATAACAATACAGTGTTAACGTAATGTTTGAGATTGCCATGGGAGCAGGATCTCTTCAGGATAGGAATGAATGAATGTCTTACGTTACATGATTTAATAACATATTTTAATAGTGCAAAGGAATTTCTTTGTGATTTTTCCATAAATGCATACAGTGTACCCCAGGTTAGCCTCAAATTCACCACCCTTCTGTCTCATCTTCCTGAGTTTGTGATTATAGGTGTACACCACTACACTTGCCTCAGTTTTTCCTTTATAATCTCACTTAAACTCAATTACCTCGTTAGGCCCCTGTTCAAATATAGTCATATTTGTTAGGCAAGCACTCTACCACTAAGCCACCTTCCCAGCCCCAAATATAGTCATATTTGTAAGTTAAGGCTTTAACATATTAATTTTATAGTGGATATGATTCACTCCATAAGAGTTAAACTTCAGGGGCTGGGAAGGTGGCTCAGTGATAGAGCGCTTGCCTTGCATGCATGAGGCCCTGGGTTCAATTCCTCAGCACCACATAAGCAAAAAGAAAAAAGCCGGAAGTGGCACTGTGGCCCAAGTTGTAGAGTGCTAGCCTTGAGCTGAAGAGCTGAGGGACAGTGCCAGGCCCCACGATCGGACCCCCCCCCAAAAAAAAAAAATAAAAGAGGTAAACTTGATTGTTTTGTCTGTGGCTATCCGATTTTAGAGAAAACTTAAAATTCAGTGTTTATGCCAGCTGCTAGTGGCTCAGGCCTGTAATCCTAGCTTCTCAGGAGGCTGAGATCTGAAGATTGCCAGTTGAAAGCCAGGCTGAGTGGAATATCTGTGAGACTCGTATCTCCAATTAACCATCAGAAAACCAGAAGAGGTGCTGTTCCTCAAGTGGTAGAGCACTTGCCTTGAACTGAAGGAGCTCAGGGACAGCACCCAGGGCCAGAGTTCAAGCCCAATAACTGACAAAAGTTTTTTAAAAATTCAGGGTTTATTTCCCATAGGGATTTGGTATAACAGTACATTGTACAGTTCATATGGGTTGATTATTTTTTGTAAGAAATGTGTTTTTTTTAAAAGAAAGAAATGTGTTTGGAAATGAACTCATGATGATGTATTTTCTGACACATCAGTCTGATTACTATTACCCCAGAATGTAATAATGGGATAAGATTTTTCATCTATAGTGCTGTAGAAAGTACTATTTTATTTAAAGCAAACCTTCAGTTCAACATGCCTATAAAACTTTGATTACATAAAATAGTACATCAAAAATATTGTCCCTGTATAATTCTCTAGCTTAATTCATAGAAGCCATGGGATATGCTTTATAGTGTGTTCCCTGAGACATAGTCATTTAAAATTCAGTGGCTTGTTTGCCCTAGCTTATGAATTTAAGTGAGTTTACTTATGAATTTACTTCTGTTTATATCTGTATTTTCTCTTCATGATGTATAGATGTGAAAATCACCATGAAAAACTTAGTGTATTTTGCTGGACTTGTAAGAAGTGTATCTGCCATCAGTGTGCACTTTGGGGAGGAATGGTGAGTAGAACAAATTCAGTGTGTTCTCTTTAGTTAGATACCAGAAGGTATTAAAGTACTTGTTTCATTTGCATTTAAAATAGTATCATTTTACCTTCTAGAGTGAAAATTAAAATGGGGCTGGCGATGTAGCAAAAAAAAAAAATCTTCTTTGTGTATGCCTTATTAAAGGTATTATACCTTCTGTTCTTCTAGAACAATGTCCTTGAGTGGTAATTTGAGTACTGTTTGATGTTTTCTCACACAGATATTTTAAGCTAATACCTGTAAAACATAAATACCTGTGTGTGTGTTTGTGTGTGTGTGTGTGTGTGCGCGTGCATGTGCTTTTACTAGTGAGCTACCTATATTCCTTATTCTATATTCATTTTTAAATCTTTGTTACAGTGTCAAGATCTTTTTCTTTGAGTAAAAGTCAGCTGATATACTGGCCTAATTTGGATTGCTTTAAAATCAAGAACTTAATCACTTGGTTTTTTGTTGTTGTTGTTTGTTTGTTTGTTTGTTTTGTTGGTTATGGGGCTTGAACTCTGGGCTTGGGTGTTGTCCCTGCACTCTTCAGCTCAAGGCCAGAGCTCTACTACTTGAGCCACAGCACCACTTCTGGTTTTCTAGTGGTTTATTGGAGATCAGAGTTTCATGGACTTTTTTGCCCTGGCTGGCTTTGAACCATGATTTTCAGATCTCAGCCTCCTGAGTAGTTAGGATTACAGGCGTGAACCACCAGCGCCTGGCAGGATCTTAATCACTTGTAAAATAGTAAAATGTTTTTAGAGTATATAAAAAAAACTTATTTTTTTCTCTCCTTTTAGTTTCTTTTCTTTAATCTCTTTCCAATGTAGATTTTTGTTTTCATTTGTTGAGACATTTGTTTCACTATGTTGCCCATACTTTGCTTAGACTTCCTGGGCTTTAGCAGTCCTCCTACCTCTTGTCTCCCCAATATGTGAGACTATAGGCAGGTCTGACCACACCTGCTTTAAAAGCAGATTTTCGGTTTGAGGT